TTTCTACCTAAAAATACTCAATTTCCGTAAGCGTATTCAGAATTTCCTGCGATAAAATAGGAGCAGAGAGAAAAAGAGACAATTGAAAACTTCACATGCAGCGGGAAGAAAGTGTGTGTGTCATACGTCAGGATTTAAATAAAAGCGCAGATTAGAAGAGCGGATTACAAGAAGCAGAGATTTCTCTTGACGAGTCGGTTCTGACGTGAAACCACAGGGATCCTGTCGACCTTGCACCAGTTCGGTCGTAAGATATACACGAGGAAGCTCCGCTTGAGTTCTACGTCGTTGCCTGCTATCTAATCTAAGCTTTAAAGCTCCAACAGTTACGAATAACCTATCCTATCGGCTTATTCTGGAAAACCGTAGGTAAATAAAATACTTATACAAAACTGCGACACACGCTACACAGCAGAGTGAAAGTAAAAACAACTGTTTTTTTTTTTTTTTATAATTATGACGTAACAGTGCGGAAATGATATCACTTAAAAAAATAATTATTATAATACGTAATAATTATAATATGTAAAATATCATTTTAATTACAGTAATATCTTCTACTGCCACTGGCACAGTAAATATTTAAAATTTTATAATGGAAAACTTTTGATGCCATTTTGTATCATTAATATTACGTTTCGATGATTTATCTGTGACGAATTTATAGTTTATTTAAGGGAACACACATGTGACGCGAAACTGTGGTCCAGTTCTAATGGCTAATTTCAAATTTAGTCGCCCGCGTCAACTGTCAGCGGAAATGTTTCCTAACACTATCTGTTCCTAAAACTATTCTTTTAAATAAACTACTGATTTGGCTACAGATAATTATTACTGAAAAATTGTTAATGACGACAAAACTATATCAAAAGATTTTTATTGTAAAATTTTTCAACTTTAAGATGTCAGTGGAATTTCACTCCGGCAAAAAAATTATTATAATTATTAAAATAATATTTTGCACGATTATTAACATCCTAAATAACATCATTTCCGCACTATTACATCATAGTTGAAAAAAAGTTTTTTTGTCTCTTCGTTTTCAGTCGCGTGCTCCATTTCTGTATACGTATATTGTGTGACGCACAAAAGAAAACAAAGAAAACAGATTAGTGTTGAGCGGTAGTAAAGATTCAATTTTTTAATTAAATTGCATTTTATTTGTTACTAAATATAAATTTTGTTTTGCTTATAAAAACTGAAATGTACAAAAATTAAAAACTAAAAATATTAAAATTATTTTGTTTATCGACACACATGGTGTATGCGTATATCGATTCTATATTTGTATTAGAAATTATGAGAATATTGTTCGTAAAGCATTTGCGATTTAGACAGAGGTGAGCCTCTCCGATCGTCACAAGAGTGATTCGAATTTAAGGATAATGAAGAGCTATGGCCTGCAGCGCGCATTTGATCACGGTCTGTACTTGAAAGGGGCCGCGATAAAATCGTCCAAATTGTTATCGCGGCTTCATTTTCGTCTGCATCGGTGATGCCGGCACGTAGATGCCGACCCTGGACCACTTTACGAGTCGTAAATCTAGGAAGAGCTGCTCTTCGCGAATCAACGACTGTATCCATGTATACAAACGACCGGCGGCCCCCGCACACGTATGCACATACCTATCGAGGCGGTCCCCAATCTACTCGCGGTCAGGTTGAGTCGTTAGCCTTGTTGTCGTGTTAACTGAATATTGGGTCAAGGTTAAGCATACGTTAATGGGCGAAACGTTTGGCGTCTAGGCTGGTTGATTTTTGACGGCCAATGAGAACGACACTACGTGCGAACGAGCGTTATGCCCCGGAGCCCTTTTTGCCGGCAGTAGTTGCAATTGAAAATAGCCGACCTCCGAAGAACGATCACATGTTCATTCGCTCATCAGAGATGCGAATATTCTATTTCCCCCTCCCTTCCGTTTAAATCACTAATCTTTCAGATGGTCCATTCTTTGCGAGTCAGAATCGTTGGTTGCCTTTCGGCTTTGCGCAGTCAATAAAAAACATCTTTGTTATTTCATTATGCGACCTCGCATGATACGCGGTTATCGAGATAACATTAAATTACAGAGTATATCTGCATCTCGCGTTTCCTCTATGAACTTTAACTCGAACCGATACATGTATACACCACGCTAATTAAATGCCCGGGGTGAAATTGCAAATGGAGAATTACAAGTCACTTCGTTTTCCAGTTTTGCGTTATATATATTATATTTCATATATTAACGTTTTATAAAAGAGATTTAAAAAAATCGGAAAAAAACGCGAGAGTGTTATGTAAATATTGGAATAAAGTTTTATTTCGCGAGGAGATAAAATAAAATAAATACGCGTTAGATTATATATATATACTACAAACAATAGAAATATGTAGATAATATTAATTTCTCGGTTTATTAACAACAATTACACAAGTCAGTGTACAACAAATAGCGTATAATTTCAACGGCGCTGCACAAACAAAGCGGTAATTAGGGCCATGGTTATTTAGACAATAATGTACAAAGCGCGTTTGGTTAACCTGCATTCGGAATTTGGCCTCATCGCATGATAAGCGTTGTCAATGCAAGCACAACCTCAACGATCTGTGCAATCAGTGGTTCGCCGCACAAAACTATCTTCACGTGATCACAATTTCACATTATCATTAAGCAAACGCACTTGACTTAAACTTGACTTAATTTGTTTGTGAATGCGCGCTTCACGTGCGCTCACTTCACATGATAATCATTTTAAACACTTTATAATTATTACACACGCCTGATCCAATATTCATTTAATTAACTCTAATTGTAAATGTTTTTTTTCCTTAGATCGCAGCGCCGGGTAACACGGTTCAGACAAAAACGCTTAATTAAGTAACGCGGTCGCTGCTACATTCCGCGTAAGAATTTCTCTTGGGTGTTGTGCTAATTGTACAAAGTAAAGCGAGGATCAAGTTTTCACACAACAGATTTCATCTTCCTTCGTCTTATCACGGTTTTCTTTTTGCAGAAAAAAACTTTTTCAGAGCGCCGATGTGATCAGTAAAAATTACAGTTGTTTTAAAAACGATCGATCGCCTATTGTAAACGTGATAGGTTACTTTTGGCTGCTTCTCGAAACAATCTTATTTACAGAGAAAAACAGCACTTTCGATATAGAACAATGTTGCAAAAATGATAGTTTTTCTCCGGTCGCCAGACAACTATAACTAGCATTGATTGTCACTGTCTACTCGCACAGGTGACCTGATTAATTCCCAAATAGCCGGCGGTAATTACTGCGAGGTATATGTCCATAGATTCACCCTTGTGTATCCGGTACATAGACGCGGCAAATACGCAGCATCCCTCTGTATCTCCGTGGCGATAGCATGTAGTTTCGATTTTCATCGATGTGGAATTTCAAGAATCTCTTGCAACATAAGATCGCAATCAACGTTCTTCTCTCGCAATTATCTCTATAAGAACGTTGCTAATAAAAAGACAGGCGTAATAAATATACGACGAAGTTTTATGAACAAAATCAAAAAATAATTTATTATATTTAAAAAAATATAAGTAATTTTAAAAATAAAAAAAAAACTGTTTCTTTCTTTTTTTTAGGTTGGCACGTGTTTTAAAAATCATTTATTTTAATAAATGAAAAAAAACCTTAAGGAATGACAATTAGGAAAAGCGAATAAGAGCCTGTATACAGGATTTTACTGTAATCAATTTTTTCATTTTTAATTTTTTTATTTGTTCATTATTTGACTAAACGTTTCGATCCGTCGTTGGGATCTTCTTTGGTAATTAATTGAGTATAGTAGAAAAAATACAAAATAATAATTACCAATTAAGTAAAGTAAGATTGATAAGAATCAAAAAGATTAACAAGAAACTTATCGAATGTGTGAGAAAAATACAAAGAGTGTTGCTGTCAGTAAGTTTCTTATTAATCTTTTTGATTCTTCTCAATCTCACTTTATTTAGTTTACGTAATTATTATTTTGTATTTTTCTCCCATATAATCAGTTAATCACTGAAGAAGATTCCAACGGATCGAAACGTATGGTCGAATAATAAACAAATAAAAAATTGATACACCATATATAGGCTCTTATTCGTCTTTAATCCTAATTCTCATTCGTACAAGTTACGTAATTCGCGTGACGAACATATATATAATACTAATAATAATATATTCATAGAATAATATATTCAACCATTTTCGAGAAATAAAACTGGTTTTTTCTTCCTACGTTGGCACGTGTTTTAAAGCTTCTCCACAATGGGAGGAAATAGCGATAGCGATAGGCGATAGACACAGAATTCCTCGTTGGAAATTTCATCGCTATTGCCTATTCCGTTTTTCTGATCTGTGTAATTTTTAAATGTTAGATTCCGCTGTTCCTATTGTTATTTATAAATATATATTAACCCCCTATAAAACCGGTGTTATAGCTATTGCTATTCCTTTTATTGTGCAAGAGACTTAAAAGTCATTTATATAATTACGTAATTCGCATGACAAACATATTTTCAATAATAACAAAAATAATACATTTAAAACTCATTTTCGAGAAATAAAACTATTTTTTTTCTTTCTAAGATGGCACTTTCTAAGATGATGTTTTAAAAGTTAATTTTCTCAAAGTCATCTGATACAAGTTACGTGATCCACGTGACTAACATATTTTCAGATAATAATGCTACAGTCATACTAAGTTGTAGGTGTAAAACATCTGTACAGATTCCGCGCTGACTTCATGAAGTTAAAATAAGATGTGTTATCACAGAGAAAATTTTCATCTCGTGTATAATATATACACACGTATAATATCTCTCTTTTAATATCTCTTTTCCGTTTTATAATCAACTTCTGGTTACCGCTTCTTGGAGGAAAGAGAACTATCTTTTCCTGTAGCTAATAGCGAGCCAAGGCCCCTATAGACGGACTATGAACATCGGCCGTCGTCATCGAAAAAGGGGCCCAATCAAAGTGAGCGGCTTATAAGAGCGCGTCACCACAGACGTTTCATTCAGTATAGTCGGTGTAACCGAAGGCGAGCTGAACTCACGCGATATTTATTCACGTGTTTGCCGTTCTCTCTCGTTGTTGTTCGCCTTCGCGTTTCGTCATTCGTCGATATCGCGAGCCGATTAAACGATCGGTGTCGGGGAAGTCAAGTTTCTGCGATACATGACTCGCACAAATATCTCAAGCACCAAGCATCTTTTTGTGATAACCGATTATCGGGGATATATACTTACATCACTATCGATTACGAAAACAAGTGATTTTCTTCGCGAGAAAGTCGGAATATCAGAGATCAATTGTGTTGAAGCGGCTGTCCAGTGATTTTGTGTAAAAACTGGTCGTTAGTATGTAGATTCTCCAAATGTGCTCTCGCATACATAAAAAAATCCGTGGGAAAAACAGCAAGCGCATTTCCGTACAAAAGTCAAATATAGATACGATTAATTCACAGAAGGATTACGCGCTGATTTGAGAAGAGATAATCGAAGAAAATTCACGAAGAGATCGAGAAAATCGGATTATATTATTTCTCAGTCAAGAGCAAGAACGTTTCGAATGATGTTGCAAACTGCCTAAGTTTGCGAGTTTTAACAATTATGTAAATTAAATTACGTTTTCATCAAGAACTCGCGAAGCACAAAACAATTAAATTAGTTTTTTTGCTCAGCCAATATCCCGCGGCCAAAGTTCTTTTCGATGTGTACACAATAGCATTAAACAACGTATAGACCCGATTACGTTACCTCTGTGTTTGATTATTCAAACGTCTATATTCCCGCTGGGAATAAGCGAAGACTTTTTTTTTTTGCTTGTAAGTCAAAGAAACGTTTCTGTGCGCAGGTTTCATTTGAATGAATAATTAAAATTGATCGCTCGTCGACATAGCCGAGCGTGTATCCGGTCGTTCAGTTTAATGCGGCCGATAGGTAGTTATCGTGAAGTGAGGAATCGACTGTAGCGCGTATCAAATTGTGTCGTCGCGAAACTCACTCGTTTCAAGACGATGAAGGAATAAAGTCGTCGACGTAAATTCGCTCTCGGAATAGCAAAGAGATTTCATAGACAAGGGCGAAGTTTCTGCGAAAGTGCCGATAAATTACTATCTGCAGACAAGAAGTTCAACGTTCTTCATGAAGATGAACGAGCCGATGCACGTGTGAAGTCGTGACGCAACGTGACTTTCATTCTCGATCAAGAGAACATTTCTCTTGGAAAGGAAACCGGAATTAGATCGAAGTTGTTCGTAAGTTTTCTGCTTTTCTAACATTCGCGTATTTGACATCACGCATTTGTAATTTTATGTATTTTATGTGACCGTAAATAACTTTTATGTAACATGTAAATTACTCTTTGAAGATACTATCGCCGTGTGTAATAAACATATTTGTGATATATGTTTGCGAAGAATTTTCTACGATATTAAGAGAACTTTAATATATACATGTGTATGCACATTAAAGTTTTTTTTAAGTTCGTAGAACATTATCTTCAAAGATAATTTACATAAGATGTGCAATAAGTTAGAACCTGTTTGCTACTACAAAATTTATTTGTTATTTTTTTTATTTTATCAGAAATATGTAAAACGAAATTACAAATTAAAGAAAATTTTGTAAAAACACTATTACATAAAAATTTGATGATTTACTTATAATTGAAATACATGTTTATTAATGACGATATGTGCGTGCCGTTATTGACTGCCATTAAATTTCACGCAGGAAATAAGATAAAGTTATAGCATGAAATAACGTTACACATATATTCGTTGTATCATTGTTTTAAATTTAGATACCGTTTTGCGTGTGCCAACGCAAGTAATTATTTCCTACATTATATCTGCTTTGTACTCTGATTACACAATTACTTCTGTTCTCAACTCAGAACACAGGTTTACGTAAACGCGCAACAATCTCGAGTGAAATATGTAAATTGTTTCTTTTCTTTTCGAAGATCTTTATGATTTTTGCAAAAGAACGGAATTGTTGAATCCAAACGAGTTGCTTGAATCGCGTAATGCAGAACAGAAACCAAACTGCTGCTACACGTGACAAGAACTTGTTGCCGACAGATTTAACGATAATCAAGATATTTATCTCGCAGCGGAAGATAAATCTGTTATCGGAGATATTAAAGAATTTTGGGCTCTGTCACGCTACATTCATTTAAATCAACGTAATCATGGATTTGTGGTACGTATCTCGTCCTTGAAAAAATTGCACTTTGCGAAAATTAAAAATGATATTTTTCTATTTTTTTGTTTTGATTTTCAATGATTCTTGCAAATTTGCGTTTTAGTGAAGAAAAATATGCGATGCTGGGCCACAATATAACCGATTACACATCGGGCAAAAACGTTGAGAATAACAACAACAATAACAATGAAAAAAATGAAAAGAAGACGTTGCACAAACCACTTGTGCAATACTCGTCAAATGCAAAAGGAGTGTTCGCGCAGGTTAGACACGCGTATAATTTCAACGTTACATAACAGACATAAAATAATTTATTCATGAAACACTACATTTATTATATTGACACGTGCGTATTTTACAGTTAGTTTTATTATTATTTTTTGTCACTATGTACGTAGTATCAAACTCTGAGACATATACACTTACTGACAAAAGTAAAAACAAAGTTGTTATTTAAGAGTTCGTTCCACGCAGCTTAAGAACTTCGGTGTGCGAATGTATATATTACTAGTGATTGAAAATTTTTTGTGGAGCAATAAAACTAAATTTCAATTTATTCGGAAATAACTCCAGAAATAATGTGTCGTCGTCTTATTGGTCAGCGAAATTTAATATTAAAAATATACTACCTTGTTCCTTACCTTTTGTCAGCAAGCGTAACAATGAGTTGCACGAAAAGCATCGCAAGCAAACTTTGTGTGTGTGTTGCATTTTTTAAAAAAAGCATTATTTCGCAAAAGCTTATAGTGCAAAAAAATACATTTTTTCTTTGCTCTTATGATCACTCGCGTGTAAATTGCCAAGAGAATTTTCGTGCAAAAGAGAACTTTTGCAGCGCAGCAGCCGCATTGCGTGTTCAACGATACGAGAGATAGTCTGGATTGCTGCCAGAATATTTTTCTGTTTAAAAATAGATATAAAAGTACCAAACATGGCACCAACCATACTTCATCGCGCTTCCTTCTCGTTATTCGTTTCATCGGGAAAATGCAATGCGGTGTCACGTAAAATTTTTACTACAGCGATATAAATGTCAGTTGTCAAAAGTGATATACAATAAATGATATTAACATTGACGTGTAAAACATACATACAAAAAAAAACAAAATTTAATAAAAATAAAAGTTTTCAAATTTAATTAATAAATAATCAGATAAACATTTTATAAAATATATTGCGTTTTTCTCTATGCAACATGAAAATTGCATTACGTCCTAGTGAACTTCGTCAGTAAGGTCGTGCTCTCGCGCGCTTGTACACATTTTTCCGTACGACGACTGTTATTTGCTATTCTTCGTGAGACGTATCTGTGTATTTCCGCAGAGATTTCTCTAAAGCGTGTTTTGCTCCGGATATGTGTCGCATGGCGCATAAATATCCCGCAACGTCAGTATCTATTGCAGAAACACAGAATTTCGCAAAATATAATAACGGGTTAAGTTTTATAGAAAGAAACAAAACGAAGCGCGTGCGATAGTAAATCTCGGCCTGTCAAACACACGTTTCTTCTGCCGTTTTCGATTCGCTCAAGCTTATCGTTCTTATATATGATTGCTTATACTCATTGGCAAGCTACACCAAAATTCTCTCTCGCAATTTCGCAGTTCCTGGAAGTATTGAAGCATGAGTATCTTTATGTATCGTTAATTCTTCTCAGCGATGTTATCAATTCACATCTTTGCCAGTCATCTGATAATAGCTTATTATTGCTGATAATTGATTTCGAAATATTAATCAATTTATCAGTGAATAATTTCCGCGTGCAAGTTCTTTGTGTTGCCATTGTATGTGTCATCTAAAGAGTACAAAAAAATCATCGCGCCATTATTTATCATTGTATCCATGTATTAAATAATTAACGATTGAACTGTTTGTAGTGTTTAGTAACAGGTGCAGTATTGTTATTGGCAACTGGCGGTGGTATGCCGATTGGTTATAGCGCCGTCTTGTTACCGCAATTGGCAGAAAAAAACAGTACCTTGTATGTGGATCGCGAACTTGGCTCCTGGATAGGTAAGAGCACACTGTAAAGAATTTTATTTGATACAAAACATTAGAAAAAAGAAAAATTGCGTTAGAAAATAATTTTTAAACAATTTATAAACTTAAAGTGACTCGAGAAAACATAGAAACATATAACGATCACATGTAACAATTGTACGTGACACAACACTTGTATATGATGATAACAATATTGTACATGACATAAAAATCACCTGTAACAGTTGTACATGACATAAAAATTGTATACGATGATAATAATTGTATATATGTTTCTATTTTTTCTCGGGAAATCTTTATAAAAGTTTCGTTATTGATTGATTAAGAGTAACTTTGTTTCTACACCCACTAAAACACACCAAGAGAGAGACTAGATTTTCTCTCAGACCTTGGAAGTTCAAGAACCGCAGGTTCAAGGTTGCTTTACCGCGACCCTCGCGCAACTAAAGCGGTTACCTCTGATTGTTACAAACTGCATGTCACGTAACTGACCTACATACAGTCTCATTTGATAATCCTTATCAAATGAGTGTCAAGGCCAAGTTTGTATGCAGTAAATGCCATCTCAAAGTTTATTGCACGAGCCTTGACAACGTGCAATGTCACAATTAAGCGAACAACCAAGTAAAACGTAAAATATTCTTCTCTTTGGAAAAACTAATTTATACAAACATCTAGAAGATTTAAATTGAGAAAAAACCGATATTTTATCAAAAATTTATATTACCTCTGTAATGAGAGAAAACTAATAGACTCCCGTACGTATTTTTATTTATTACCCATCTCGTGTAAGATGCGTGTAATATATTTAACGTCCCGAATCCACAGAGAGAACTAGAAGCGCAAACTAATGATGTCGGCATAACTATCGCCACTTACGCGGCGTCGTTTTATCACGTCGTAAAAGATTTTCATACTCAGCATGTTATATATTTTAAAAATTTGCATACAGAGAATCTAGATTAACCAGCAGCTATAAAAGCTGTGCATTTGTGCAAAGTTATTTAAATATTGCGATATCTCTGTGTTTTTTTAGAGAACCGCAACGTTAAGTTGCGGTTCTAAAAAACCATGTATTTAAATATATGTCAAATATATGTTAATAAATGTTAAATCGTAATTTAAAAATGTATTTAAATATATATTTTAAGTATATATTAACATATATTAAAAAACATTTGTATATACATTTTTTAATTACGATTTACTACAGAGTTAATGTGTATATTCCCGACAACGAGTTTGTTATGTATTCTCAAGTTTATTAATTATGTATATTGAACACGTTTTTTGATTCTTTTATTAGGATTTTTCTCAGTGATTGAACTAAATGAAGAAAAAAAAAATAATACTAGCATAAAAGTAATACAAAAATTGTAAATAACAAAAATTATAAAAAAATGCAGAATAATTAAATAAATCTTACTAAAAAATAAAAAATTAAATTAAAAAGTTGATAGGAGTAATAAGACACTTGTATACAAAGTATATAAGTTAGTACTTATTTAGTCAAAGAAAAATATATATATACTTTTTTTTTTCATTTTAAAATCTTTAAAATAGTTATTTTTAAAAGTCTCTAAAAAAAAGAGTTATCTCTTTTTATCTTCTAAGTTTAGATTTTATTTTTGAAGATAAATTTACTAATTTTATTAAAAGAGAGAAAAAGATTTGGCGTCGCGAATCAAATTTTATTAATTATTCAAGAGAGTATGTCAAAAAAGTCCTTTTTTCTTTCATGCTTCCGCGAGATTCGCACATAAATAAGGTAATTGAATGAAAAAATAGTCTTAAAGCCTATGGGTCACGCACGTGTTAAAGGTTTGTCGGTGTGTGCCATATGTCAATGAAATAGACCGCAAAATCCAGACACACAGGCCGCTCGGACTTTCGCTTGGATAATTCTGTCATTACATAGTATGATTTATTTCGCTATCTGTCATGACCGGCTGTTGTCGTTGGTGGCGTTTGACAGCCATACGCACATGTTGATCAATAATGCAGAACCATTATATATGCGATAATCTAATGTACTTACTCTCTTAGCATTGCTCTTAACTGCGTGTTGTTGTGTTAACAAAATAAACAATTTTTCTATCACATTTTATTGAGGTCACACATATAACGTGTAATTGTAGAGTGTGTGTGTATGTATACTGTTTGGGGTTTTCCTTATATTTTCCTTACTAAGTACAAGAAAATATTCTTCTTTATGATTAGGTTGCCAATATCGTGCTAGTCACGTGTATGAAATAATGTTTTGCAAAAAACACAACATGTAGTTATTTACAAGTACTATTGTAAAATTAGATATCTGGTTTCATAGCAAGTAGTTTTTTTATTTCTATTTTTAGTTATTTTATTAGTTTAAAAATTTCATTGGTTTAAGAATTTCTGATCGCAATTTTATCTTAGGTATAAAAAATATGATAGGTTTAAATCATTCTTCTTGTATTTAATCATCATTGCAACATTATTTATAAATATAATATTGAGACGGGATTAGTTATCACATTATGAGTATGTATGTTAAGAAAAGTGTAAACTGCCGTTATATATACATATATATATACCTCAAACAAGTACAACATGTTTAAATGTCATTATGTTTTTTTACATTAAAGTGTATCATCTATGTTTAAAGAACTTATTTAATGTAAACATCTTTTATAAATAAATGTTGATTTAATGTTTTATAATTATATTTGATCTATAAACTTCACTAACTAGAAGAAAACATAAAAACAGAAATTATATGTACTTTATATTTATAATTCTTCGATAAGAAACATGTGACAACCAACCCGAAATATAATTATAATGTGGGGTATAATGTGGCTTTGCACGATATAGTTTAGCACTAAATAACTTTTTTTCTGTATAAAAATATGTAAGATTAATATTTGTTTTTTTAAAAGCTTAAGCTTTAAAAGTTTTTTCAATCACAAGTGTGTTTATGCTTCCACTCTAGCCTACCTTATCATTCTGATTTGAAAAAATTTTAGAACCACCACAACTCGTTAGATTAATATACTTTTTTTGTAAGATTAAATGCGCACTTTGGTATTTAAGATAGACGAGAAAGAACGTAATAAACGATTATATGTGACAAAAATATATATCAGTAATTAACTAAAAGCAGAATTTACAAGTGTAGTTAACTCTTGTTCAAAACTATTTATATATTACATTTTTTTCTAACGAGTCACATAAATGTGGGAATTATTTTATTTTTATCTAGTTTCATTAAAGATAAAACTTACCCTGCTGGCAAAGCTATACGTGTAACAGAAATCCCTTTAATTTCATTAAAGCGAAAGCAAAAAAAAGACAAACCCGACACGCGCGCGAGACGCTGCACGAAACTGATTGCATTCCTCACGAATGCAACGAGAGAAAATGAACGATAAATAAAAGAAAAAGTAGTGTATTCACAATTCACAACGGAATATTTCACAATTTCGTTAAAGCATTGGATACCGATAATAAAAATCAATTGTGGCAATTACCGTCAACAGAATTTCGTTGTTTCAAATTTTTATTTTCTCAAATGCAACTTTTAAAAGAGTTATCATTTTAAAAGCTTATAGCTTATAGCGCTAATGCTTTTTTAATTATAAAATGCAAATTTCGATAACACACAGAAACGAGCTCTTCTCACTCTCAGGACGAATTTATATTAACACACCACGCCAATGTGCTACGCTGAAATAACTTGAAATAATTTATGTTATAAAACACACAAATATATTCAGATAAGATGGCGATAATCCTAGTTTGAATATATCTCGATAAAAGATGAATAAGTTACACACATTATAATAAATATATTATAAATATTTGTATTTTAGATATTTACATATACATACATACATATTTATATTAAAGATATGTTATAATCATAAATTTTCATAATCATACATTTTACTTTTAACTTTTGATTCTTATATTTATTACTTGTGGTATTTATTTATACGTTTATTTATAATTTAAAGAATTAGAAATATTGTTTAGTATAAATATTCTAAAATTTTTATTTATAATTTTTGAAGTTTAAATTGTTCAAAAAGAGTACATTGAGTTTTACATTTTATGAGTTTTTGTATCAAATTATAAATTCCACCATGTAATGACGGGAAATTCACAGTTGTATTTTTTAAAGCACATATCACAGATGCTACATAATGCTACGTTTCAATAAAGGTCTATTTTGCAATAAACAGAAAGATAAACTTTTTTCAAAGCAGTATTACCAGAATTATTTAAAATTTCTGTCTCTTAGCGTTACAGTAGGTAAACTTGCATTGACCGTTGCACCGATATTACACAAGTGTAATTACAATATCCAGTCTGTAGATATTATGATATGATTGAATATGCGAGTATTATATAGTATATTGAGTATTGAGAAAAGTCACACTCAGTATGCGTTTATATTATTTTAGAAAATTATAAAAGAAAATTTATACTTTTCTGAGACGCGGATAAAGATAAAATAAAATAATCATCACATATCTAGATGAAAATCTAGATAATTCTAAATTTAGATAACGGAAAATTGATCAACATCGATGAGAGACGATCTCAATTCTTCAACGTGCAGCATATTTGTAATCTTATCCTGCGAAACATGACGAAATAAAGTATAATAGTTTTAACCCGAACGCACACTTTCTCACAGAAAATCGATAGACATGTTTTTTTTCTTTTCTTAAACACGTTCTTCCCCTGATCGCGTAAACGATAATACGCGATTACGATCGTATCGTCTCGCGAGGAAGATTTCAACTCTTAACATTTATAACAAAAGCATCCTACGCACCGTCCAATAATAGCGCAGATGTCACATGTGATCGTAAACAAGCCGCGTTGATCGCTCTGTTATTCGCTGCTATAACATTTTAACGAGCCGCGTTAAGGATATTTTTATAGTTAATGCACAAATCGCTATTTGATGCGCTCATTAATGCGCAAATCTGCATTTACGTTGCGCGTTTAAATTTCATCCCTATTCATTTCTCATGGATTGCAAATTTCTAAACTGAGAGAAGAAGCGTAGTATTACATATTCCTCTCTCGCTCGCGATGTATACACAAGAGAACCAAATTATCTCGGAAAATATAAAGAAGAGAGAAAATATTCGAATATATGCACTTTCCTATATATAGAACATGCGGAACGAATTGAATAACGTAATTATTAAAATGCCCTGGTGGTTTTTGTGTTGCGCAGCTTCTATTCACAGTCTGGCTACTCCCGTTGGTTCGCTCTTGTCAGGACCGCTTCTCGATGCGATCGGCAGACGGGGTAGTCTCCAGTTATCAGCGATTCCTCTTGGCATAGGCTGGCTAATAATAGGTTTTTCGAAAAACGTGACGTGCCTTTTAGTGGGAAGGCTGATATGCGGTGTGTCCGTAGGACTGATGGCGGTCCCATCACAGGTAATTTCTGAAAATTTATGTAAACGATGACATATAAACTTTAATTCACACAAAATCATTAGATGTGTATTAGACGTCCACAGTTCCGTGTGATATCTAATGGATGTTTGAAGTTTTTGTGTGGATTTTTGTATTTTGAATTGTGTCAACACACATTAATAGCAAAAATTTATCGGTACACTTTTTACGCATTTGTTGACATCTAGTTAATTAATTATTGTCGCGCTTTACATATTATGTAACAAAATATTTTTAATATTATATAACCTTGTTAGATATACAACGGATTAAAATTTCAACACTTAATGAGCTTTAATAGCATTAATGTAAATGTGTGTGTGTGTGGCGATTGATAAGTATTAAAAACAACGCATAGATAATGTAGTATCACAATGGTGTTGTTCTTGACAAAGTTCCATCCATTAGAAGAACTAATGTCAACGCTGGCTTATTATCGCACGTGTGACAATGTTGAGCCATTTACGACATTGACTTCGTTGTTGCTCAAAAAGTGTTTTCCAACTGAGCCATTTTTTCACATTCGGAAATAAGTGAAAATCGCAAGTAGCCATATTCTGGCGAATAAAGCTAATGAGACAGCAATGAGTTAACTTAACTTGAAACTTGAAATTTTTATCGTCGCGAAATTTAAATTGTGAGCTGACGCTCTTTGTCAAAGATCACTGAGAGCGTTTTACACACGATACTACGTGCGATAATAAGTCAGCATTTGACATTTGGTCTTCTGAAAGATGAAACTTGTCAGCACAATAGCAAGCAATGTGATACTACTGTCGCTACCTATGCGACGTATTTCGGATACTTATCAATCGCCTTTCTTGCGATCAATGTAATTTGTACTCGTCGCTGGATCTAATTGCAGACTTAACTACTTAAGTTTGCCGCTGAACTCTTTCACTACTTCCAATATTTATTAATTACCTTATATTCTACTTTTTCTCTCACAAGTATGTGAATATATTATATTAAAATTGAAAAAAAAACCAATATATTTCACACAATAAAATATATTTTACACCGTTGTAAAAACGATAATTTGAGGTCTGCAAATCTTTTAGGTGCTGGTAGGAGAAATGGCGGATTCGGGTCTTCGCGGCTTCCTGGTGGGCGGAGGATTTGCTTCGTACTGCTTAGGTATCCTGCTGGTTTACGCTCTCGGCGCTTCTTTTAATTGGGACATTGTAGCTTTTATCGCCATCGTGCTTCCCGTTCTGGCCTTGGTCGCTCTCTGTTTGGTGCCTGAAAGCCCCACCTGGCTCGTTAGACGGAACAAAATTGAACAGGCCAAGAAAGCTCTTTTGTGGCTCAGAGGTGGTGATATAGAACAGGTAAAAAGTAATAAATATCTTCTGTCTTCTTGCGCGTTTCAAGAAACGTTGCGAGCAAGCTTGAAATTTCATAAAGTTTTAAAAAATGTAATACAATAATATATAAATAAATATTATACTATATGAATGATTAAAATTATTTTATTTACAATTAGACAAATGCGGAAGTAGAGCTTCTGACTTCACGGATGAGAGCCGATCTCGCACTGAAACCAATAAATGTTTCGGTAAAGAAGAGAATCGTTTCGACACTGTCAACAATTCGCGATCGGGGCGTATTGAAACCATTGATTATCATCAACGTATTCAATGCGCTTCAATTGGCCTCCGGAACGTACATTATCGTCTTTTACGCCGTCGATATGATCAAGGACATAGGTAAGCGGAAACTCGTTTTCTTTGCGAAACGTTTTCTCTGGACGCGGAATAAAACTTTTTTCTTTGAAAGATTTTTTTCTTTTAGAAAGAAAAAGTAAATACATCTACGGAAAAGTGATCGTTATTTTTTGTTATCAAGCCGTTTACTTTGTTCAGGCGGCGGTAGCGTGGATAATTACTTAGCAGCTGTGGTGACAGCAGTTATCAGATTTATCTTCTCTCTCGTTTCCTGCGTTTTGCTACTTAAAATGGGCAGACGAACTTTGGGCGTCCTTTCCGCGGCCGGCACGTCTCTGGCCTCGTTAATTCTCGCTGGATACATGATTGTCAGAAAAGAAGGATCTTCCATGGATGTGAGCGTCTTGAATTTGCTTTTTTTTGTGTTTTTTAATTCGTAAAATATATATTAATAAACGTATGCGCTGGTTTTTTAGGCTTACGTCTTAGCTGTGTGCTTGTTGTTTTACGTCGCTGTAAATACCGTGGGTCTGTTAGTACTTCCCGGATTGATGACTGGCGAACTGATGCCTCTAAGAGCTCGAGGCATCGGCGGTGGATGCATCTTCTTCGTATTCAATCTTCTGATGTTTTTCGTTACCAAAAGTTTTCCATGGGTAAAATATCGCACATATAAAACTTCAAATTTAATTACAAAAGCTTTATCTGAACTGCCAATATATATGACTTGTGCATTCGTTTTTTTACTATAGTAATTGAATTTTTACTGTATTAGTTTTTATACTATGTTCGATAAAAAATTAATTAATTAAATTTTTTACTATATCAGATAAAAAAATTAATTATTTTACACTAAAAAGGGAAATATTGATTTGTACGTTTCTATTTAATTATTTAATATAAGAGAAACTATTAGAACAATAATTTATATACCTTATTAATGTCGCAATTTTACTCAGAAAGACATAAAATATTTATTTCAGCTGAATAGTGAAGTTGGCACAACGGTAGTTTTTATTATCTTCGGTGTTTCCGCACTTTTGGAAGGCCTCTTTATCTACTTTGCTTTACCGGAAACGAAGGATTGCACCCTTCAAGAAATTGAAGATTACTTTCAAGTAAGAAAATGTACTTAAGCAAATGAAATGCACTCACATAAAAAAAAAAAATTACAAATATTACTTAGCATAATTGTGCTTTTACAGCAAAGCAACGTTTTGTGGATAACCAGAACACCGACAAAAAGAAAGGCACCCGATCAATGCGTTAGTTTTCTCTAATACCTAATAAAAAAATAAAATTGCGGTAAAAACTTTTATGTATTGCAATCATAAAAACTTTTATGATTGCGACGTTTTTTTTAAGTTTAATCTAATTGTACATTTTTGTATTTTTTTTATTGTAAAAGACATACATGTACATGACAAACATTGTTATGTTAAGTTGTTCAAGCAAGTAGTTTTGTACGTAATAATGTGGTAAAAGATAATGTATATATATTGTTTATTTATAGATAGAAGAATTATTCAAACTTTATGATTATTAAATCTTAAAGTTTAAAGTGTTGTGATTTATGTTTGAATGAAAACAGAGTTTTTGATATGTAAGCCGATTTGTATAATTGTTCGTTGAAGTCGTTTGAGAAATTAATGATAGTTATTTAGAACAAAAGAACCAATGCAATTATATCGAAGTACAACTCCTGCACGCAGGCTTTATTAAGTTAACTTTTACAGATATGATTTTGACAACAAGATTTACAATTACTATTAAATTGTCACATGCGATATCGAGCACATGATGACACTAGAATAAAATATTATTATCTTTTCATTGTTGTCTTTTTATTTTCTTTCTATAATCACCTAAATATTAATTACTATATATATTGTATAACGTGGCGCTCTTTTAGCGCCAGTCGCTATTTATAATATATATATATATATATAACATTTCTCGGTTTTGCCTCCAACTGAGTTATAGGATGCTAAATGTGCAACAAATTATAATTGTAAAATCTTCATAAGATTTTATTCACAGAAATAAAAAATAATAACTCGAATAATTGAATTAAAAATTATACATTTAAAATGATTATTTAAAGAGAAAAAGTTTTTACCTGACATTACATTTTTTCTAATCTGTACAGTTTTCTTTCTTTCAATTGAGTCGTAATAATTGAAACTTCAAAACTCGTATTTAGGAATTTATTCTTGCGCGGGGTATGGATTTATACGGTATCTGAAACTTTTTGATACACAGTCGATGTAATTTTCAAAAAAGCAATCAATCAATGTCCAACTGATAGCGGGAAGTCGTCTCTATCTTCTGTAGAAGATCGTATGTGAAGGAAGCAATCTTCTTTACAACTAAAAAAATTACATGTATATTTATATACACAGCAAATTAAGCATCTTTGAATTTTTGAATTGAATTTAATTCGAATTTCTATGAATTTACATGTTTAAAAATATATAATTTTATACGTACACCTAGCATTGGTTCACATTAACCACGTAAACTTTCTGCTAGTTACAAATTACATGCCTATACAGAGTCCAATGAACTCTTTCATAAATATTTAAGTTACCTTTTGTCAAAACACTTACCACATACCGTCAAAAAAAAAAAAAAAATACACATTATTGTCACTTTGAGAAATCAACGCGCAATATATTTTAAGAGTACAATCAAAAACCGTACTTGGCAATTATAAAGGTTTCTCAAGGGAACGATGAATTTTAACATGTTGCTGTAACTCTCCCTTACTTTTAAAAGTCCAATTGATTGTTTTCTATGTTTAGCTCATATTAAGTAATTAATAGCACATTCATTAATCATATTAATAACTAATAATTTATTTTATCTTAATAACTACTGCAACTTTTGCAAAATCGTATACTTTTTCGTTCCAAATGATCCAATCTATCTCCGCACTTCGACTGTGTCAAAAAAGTTTCAGACATCCTTGTATATATCAAGACTACAAAAATGTCTTCGATTACACCGCAATCTAATCTTAAAAATATATGGGCTTGAATAATGTTTGTCAAAGCATTGAGATAATGTGGAGATGTGTTATAGTCTCATTTAAGCGTGTGGATTGCGGAATTTCTCTCCAGCATATTTCGCGGCAGCACCGAGCTCTTCCTCGATACGCAGGATCTGATTGTACTTGGCCAAACGTTCCGAGCGACAGGGCGCGCCAGTCTTAATCTGGCCGGTCGAGAGACCGACAACCAAATCGGCAATAAACGTGTCCTCCGTTTCTCCAGAACGATGAGAAACCATAGTACCCCAACCGTTGTCCTTCGCGAGCTTGTGAGCAGAGATGGATTCGGTCACACTGCCGATTTGATTGACTTTTAATAACAGACAGTTACACGCTTTTTTCTCAATAGCTGTCTTAATCCTGGAATAGAGAAGAAAATTATTAATATTAAACTAATATTAAATGAATTCGGTACAAAAAAGCTTTTGGGGATGTTACCTCACAGGATTAGTGACAGTCAAATCGTCACCGACGATTTGAATAGGAGTAGCTTTAGTTAAGGTAACCCAAGAATCCCAGTCATCCTGATCGAAGGGATCTTCAATCGATACGATCGGGAAATCTTTGACGAATTCCAAGTATAAGTTTTTCAATGCTTCAGGTTCCAAATATGTGCTCGGATCAGATTTTTCATTTTTAAAGTCTAAATCATATTTTCCGTTCTTATGAAACTCGGAGGCGGCAACGTCCATGCCAATTTTAATCTTTCCTTCATAGCCAGCGGTCTACAAATTTACGATAAAATTATTGAAAAACACAAAACAAAAATATACTTCAATAAACAAAAATATATTTCAATTTACTTTGATAGCCTCTATGATCAAGTTGAGAGCTTCCTTGTTCTCTAAAATGTTTGGTGCAAATCCACCTTCATCACCGACAGCTGTGGCGTCCAGACCAAATTTCTTTTTGATACCCGCCTTCAAATGATGATAAACCTCACTGCCCATTTTCATGGCTTCCGTGAAGTTGGCCGCACCAGTGGGCAAGATCATAAACTCTTGCATAGCCAGCTTATTGCCAGCATGAGAACCACCATTGATTACATTGAATGCTGGCACTGGCAAAATAATGTCATTATTTCCAGCCAACTCAGCAATATATCTGTAATGTAAAATGTTTTTATTCGTTTAAAATACGTTAAAAGGAAAATTGTAGTATAATCATATACATATATATGTAATGTAAAGTTATCAGATATATTTACTTGTACAAAGGCAGTTTCTTTTTGGCAGCGCCAGCCTTGCATATAGCCAAAGAGACACCCAAAATTGCATTTGCTCCAAGTTTGGATTTATTTGGAGTACCATCCAGTTTCAGCATGAAGTTATCAATTTCTTCTTGCTGTGTAACTTCCAAGTTGGCCTTGAAAATAAAGAATTATTTATTATAGCTATTATAAATGCCTGATAATTACTAAATGTTATGTAATAACATGCTTAGCAACATATGTTAAAAAAGTGAAACCTTCAATAATTCAGGAGCAATGATAGAATTAACATTTTCTATAGCTTTGAAAACAGATTTTCCATGATATTTAGATTTATCGTTGTCCCTCAATTCCAAAGCTTCATGAACTCCGGTAGATGCACCAGATGGAACTGCTGCACGAAATAGTCCAAGATCTGTGACAATATCAACCTAGAAACGCAAACAACAACATTGTTAAAATATTGCTAAGTAACATTTTGCACACAAGTTTCTTCAATATTCAATATATAATATGTATGTATATATTACCTCTATTGTGGGGTTTCCACGAGAGTCATAAATTTGGCGAGCCTTGATGCTTTGAACAGGCATTTTAATACAATTGCTTGCGGACGCAAAGTGTCTTGTTGAATTCAATAAGCTATAATCAAATAAAATGTAAATTACCAGTATTGATTTTTGTCAGAAGAAAAACAAAATTACAAAATATAAATTACAAAACACTCGAATTGGTTTTGAGATTTAAGTTTGTAAATTTATATTTAGATTATGTTTACATAGATCTCTTTTCTGTTTATTTCTCGAGATATTTCCTTTTTACAAGATGACAAATAAACTCTATTCGTCCAATTGTGTCTTTTGTTACAATATTGTAAATCATTCTGAAATCACGCGATCTCTCATTAAAGATGATAATCCGTCATTTTTCGATGTAATTTACAAAGTTGTACCGTTAATATAATATTATATAGCAAAAAATGCAGTACATAAATGTAGAAATAAAGTAATAGACTACGTAATAACAATTGCATGTGTGACTGCTTTTAAATAAAACAAGAGAACTCTCAAGAAGTTGCAGCGTGGTGTGACAATTGTTGCAGAAATGACGGTTAGATTCTCGATTCAAGAAATGTCACATAAGTAAAAACAATATGTAAATAACATTCATTAATCAATGCTCCAGATTCACACAGGATGATTTTGAAAACATCGGTAATTAAGTCAGCAAATCGTCGAGCTGTATGTCTAGAAATTTCGACCTTGTCAAGGTCATTGCTAAAAGTACTCGATATAAAGAAAAAATTAACGTCGAAAACGGAAAGCATTTAATTCGCATTTGAGTTACGATGTGTCAAGAAATTACACCATTAGCGAGGTCGGAATCATTAAAGACCTTGTTATGAAGTTCCGGTGCGAGACGATACAACCGGCACGTAACACCATCATCTCCTTGAGAGTTCGATTCAATGAGAAAAAACGCACTCATGTGGGTTCAGACAAATTTAACGAAGAGAGTTATCCACGAGAAATGTTCTGCAATATGCCGAGACTTCGTTGTAAATTTGCTCACCTAAACGTGACACGCGCGACAAGAGACCGACAGGACCGCTCGACGAAGAATGAGATTTGACCTATCTAATGACCTCCAGTCGTGATGTAAGCAGCGGCGGGCTATCGATTGCGAGATTCGAGCAAACAGTTAAGTTAAGAAAAAAAATATGAAGTTTATTTTTTACTAAGCAGGTGTCAAGAGACAATGCATATCAGAATTATTATTGTATAAACGTTGTTTTTCTCTCATTATTAGTTCTGAGACGTAAGAACCAGTCTCCGAACAATTTATCCGACCAATTATTCCATTGGAGTTGGGCCAATCGCTTTGGTTGTTCAGCATAAGTTATCAGAATCGTCCAATCACGGTTATGATACTTAATCGGCTGATGTGCGCCAACGCATACAAAACTCTAAGTCCCTAGTCACAGTATATCGTGCTTTAGTGTTATTAATGAAAAAAGATTGCCGACTCTGCATTCGCCTACGACCTATTCCGTCTTGTTTCGCGTTCGCGCATGCGTAGATTGTACACACGATTGAACGCACGTTTAGTATTCAATGGTGTCACGTTTAAATCTCGTGCGGATCAAACCACGTCTAAAACGCTCTTGTAAACATTTGCTGATCTTCTGTAATCGAAATATGGCGAGCAAACAAATGTTAGAAAATATGAAAAATTATAAAAAATGCAAATCGTCAATAACGCAGAAAATTAGAGATAATTTTGCTGCGGAACACCGAGAGAGACGCAAAAAACGTAGGACGCTAAAGTTCGATAAAACTCGAAATCTTTTGCCACATCTAATGCAGGAAGGTGAGTCGATGCAAAATAGCGCAATTTTTATGCAATTTCTTGTGCAATACGACCCGTCGTGATATCGAATTTATTATTTTAAAACTGATAAAGTACGAGTTGAACTTGATTCAATTACACGAAGTTTCATTTAGTTTGAGATGTACATAAAAGGTCAATAACTTGTTCGTTTGAACTTCGGTTTTATTGTTTACGTTTGGAATTCGACTTTATAACATATGTATATCTAATGTAATTCTTCTTAAGATCGTTATACGTGACGATGATTTTAGGCCTGTTCTACAATACAGTCGTAAGCCGTAAGTCGTAAGAAAATGACCAATCACAATCGATTATTCATTTGTAATTGGTCTGTGATTGGTCAATTTCTTACGACTTACAGCTTACGACAGTAATGTAGAACAGGCCTTAATCGTAACGTCGCAAGAGCAAATCAATCAATTACATGCCAACTTAATATTTCTTGCTAACATAAACCAATGTCCACAATATAACAGTTTTTGTTCTCAAAAAAAGATATAAAATATATCTCAATAAATAAACTACAAATAATAGATTTTGTAATTTAATACAAATAAATAAAATATACTTATAAATTATAAATTTATTATAAATTTTATAACAACTTGTCTACTCAAATAAAAAGTTACAATTAAGTATTGTTTATCACGAATCATGAATATTTTTAGAATCATTATCGTATATACGTTAAATCAAATTTACCATTATCGCCCACTTATTTTTCACATAAATACTATTCATATTTTGGTTTGTTTTTGGGAAAATTGCGTGTTTTAAATGTTATAGAAATTATTGAATACTATACGCGCGCGCGTATAGTATTCACACACACACACACACACACACACACACACACACACACACACACACACACACACACACACACACACACACACACACACACACACACACACA